CAATATAAGTCAAAGCCTAAGCCAAAAAGATGCTTTGAGTGTGGACAAGAAGATCACTTTGCTCATGAGTGTTAAACCCCACCACCACAACCCTTGCCCAAGCATACTAGACCTTTTGCCTTCAATGCTCACTACATACTTAGAAAGGATTATAGTGGAAAGATGAAAGTCATGTTTTTAGGTCCTCCCGACAAGAATAGATCTAAGCAAATTTGGGTTGCAAAGTCACTAGTTGAGAAAGTCAAGGGCCCCCATCAAGTTTGGGTCCCTAAACAATAAGCTTGATCTCTTATGTATAGGTGAACTATAAGACCGGTGGAAGTCATTGGATTATTGATAGTGATTGCACTCAACATATTACCGGTGATCCTCATATGTTCACCTCATTAGATGAAAAAGTAGATGATCAAGAAAAGATTACATTTGGTGATATTCAAAGGGCAAAGTTCAAGGATTCGGTAAAGTTGCAATATCAAATGATCATTCAATATCAAATGTGCTATATGTTGCTTCATTGAGTTTCAACTTGCTATCTGTTGGTCAATTGTGTGATCTTGGCTTTCAATGCTTGTTTACCGAGAAGGAAGTGGTTGTGTCAAATAAAGATGATGATCAAGTTATATTCAAGGGTTTTAGATACAACAACCAATATATAGTGGATTTCACCTCCAAAGATGCCAACTTGAAGATATGCTTATTCACTAAAACATCACTTGGGTGGCTATGACATAGAAGACTTGTACATGTTGGGATGAGCTCACTCAAGAAGCTAATGAAGAATGAATTGGTGAGAGGTTTGAAGGATGTGAAATTTGAGAAGGATAAGCTTTGTAGTGCATGTCAAGCCGGTAAGCAAGTTACAAACACTCATCAAACAAAAGCTTATATGTCAACAAAAAGAGTATTAGAGCCTCTTCACATTAATCTTTTTGGACCAACAACTTATAAGAGTTTGGGAGACGATCTTTATTGTCTTGTGATAGTTGATGACTACTCTAGATATACTTGGGTGTTCTTCCTTCATGACAAGACCAAAGTGATCGCATGTTTCAAGAAGTTTGCCAAGAGAGCACAAAATGAATTATAAGTGAAGCTCAAGAAGATAAGAAGCGACAATGAAAAAGAATTTGACAGCACAAACATTGAAGCGTATTGTGATGAAGCAGGGATCAAGCATGAGGTCTCCACAACATATACTCCTCAACAAAATGATGTAGTAGAGAAAAAGAACCGGACATTTATCACCCTTGCAAGAACAATGCTTGATGAGTATAATACATCCGAAGCCTTATGGGCGGAAACTATCAACATCGCATATTATGCATCCAATCGTCTATTTCTTCAAAAGTTTTTTGGCGAGACCCCTTATGAGTTGCTCAATAGGAAGAAGCCGGACGTATCATTCTTCCAGGTGTTTCGTTGCAAATGCTACATCTATAATAAGCGGCAACGCCTAAGAAAGTTCTAAAGACATTGTGATATTAGTTTTCTTGTTGGTTACTCATCAAAGTCCAAAACATATCAAGTATTTAGTCATGTCAACGGCTTGGTTGAAGAAACATATGATGTAGAATTTGATGAATCTAACGGCTCTCAAGGAGCACATGAGAATCTTGATGATGTAGGTTATGAACCATTGAGGGAGGCTATGAAGAACATTCTAGTTAGAGACATCAAGCCTAAAGATGATAAAGATGATGTACAAGTGATTGATCCATCTTCATCAAATGTGCCATAAGATGATGATAAAGATGTAAGAGTAGAAAATAAAGGTACTCATATCTCCCATGATCAAATGGTAGCACAAGCTCAAGATGTTGATGCTCTACAACCTCCCTCTCAAGTGGTTGATAGAAGAAATTCACCCCTATTACAATCACATCTATAAGATCTCATTATAGGGAGTCCTTCAAAGGGAGTAATGACTCGCTCTCAAAAACTTGCTTTATTTATTGAACATCACTCGTTTGTTTCTTGCATTAAACCTACAAATATAGAAAAAGCTCTTCAAGATCCGGAATGAATAAATACCATGCATGAAGAGTTGAACAACTTCACCCGTAATGAAGTTTAGACACTTGAAGAGCGACTACAAGGTGCAAGAGTCATTGGAACAAAGTGGGTGTTCCACAATAAGTAAGATGATCAAGACATTGTTGTGACGAACAAGGCAATACTAGTTGCAAAGGGGTTCTCCCAAGTTGAAGGGTTGAATTTTGGAGAGACCTTTGCACCGGTTATAAGACTTGAAGCCATTCGTGTCCTTCTTGCATATGCATCCCATTATGAAATAAAATTATATCAAATGGATGTTAAAAGTGTATTTTTAAATGGTTTCATAAATGAACTAGTCTATGTTGATCAACCCCTCGGGTTTGAAGACCTTAGATATCCTAATCATGTCTATAGGTTGTCTAAGACGCTATATGGGCTTAAGCAAGCCCCAAAAGATTGGTATGAGCGTCTTCGAGATTTTCTCATTGAGAATGGCTTCACCATTGGGAAGGTTGATACCACACTATTCATAAAAAAACTTAATGGAAAGATCTTTATTTGTTAAGTATATGTTGATAATATCATATTTGGCTCATTAAATGAAGACTATTGCAAAGAGTTTGGTGAATTAATGTTAAAAAAGTTTGAGATGTCTATGATTGAAGAGCTTATATTTTTTCTTAGTTTTCAAGTCAAGCAAATGAGAGAGGAGATTTTCATCTCTCGAGAAAAATATACCAAGGACCTTCTCAAGAGGTTCAAAATAGATGAATGTAAGCCAATCAAGACACCAATACCATCTAATAGACATCTTGACTTAGATGAGGAAAGTAAATTGGTTGATCAAACTCTCTACCATTATATGATTGTTAGTTTATTATATTTGACTACATCTAGATCTGACATCATGTTTAGTGTGTGTGTGTGCTAGATTTCAAGCTAATTATAAGGAGGAGCACATGGTTGTCGTTAAAAGAATCCTTAGATACCTTAAGTACACACTAAGTATTGGTCTTTGGTATCCCAAATGAGTTAGATTTCAACTAGTTGGCTATTTCGATTCGGATTATGCCGGTAGCAAAATTGATAAAAAAAAGCACATCCGGTCAGAGCTTAGCGGCTCTCTCTGACACAGTGGCGGGTACAACTGATTGGAGCGCCTGGTCACCCTGACCGGAGTGTCCGGTTAGCCCGCAGAATGATGACTCAGCCTCCAAACGTTATGTTTTGAATGAGAAGGTATAAATTCTTACCCCACTTATTCATGAAAGGTCTCTTGCCTATTTATTCAGCTGAGAAACACTTTTGGAGTGCAAGGGCAAGCAAGAGCCTAGTGCAGTGATTGAGATTTGATAATACAAGATTAAGGACCTCATTAGTGCATAGAGAGTAGCAAGTGTGCATCCACCTTACTCATTAGGCTTGTCTTGGTCGAGTGAGAATTTGTGCTTATTACTTTTGGTGATCGCCATCACCTAGACGGCTCGGTGGTGATTGGGAGTTTGGTGATCATCGGGCGGAGCTTTGCGAATGACCTGAGTCACTTTGTGAGTGGTTGTGGGCGATTCACCGCGACGGAGTGTCAAAGAATCAGCCCGTAGAGAGCACTTGATCCTTGCGCGGATTAAGGAGGAGCTATACCCTTGCGCGGGTGCTCCAACGAGGACTAGTAGGGAGTGACGACTCTCCGATACCTCGGAAAAACATCGCCGCGTTCCTTTCCCTCTCTTTACTTTGAGCATTTACATTTGAGCAATTTATTTCATGTCTTTACATTCCTAGAATTGCCATGCTAGAGTAGAATTGGAACCTAGGGTACAAAACTTTTGTACGAAAGAACAATAGAAACACATTTTAGACACAAACGGTGAAATGGGCTAAGTGTAGAGCTTAATTATTACAAAAATTTAGAATTAACCCAATTCACCCCCCCTCTTGGGCATCTTGATCCTTTCAGTGCGGATGAGGAGGGAGAAGCAGGTAAGGACGGGCAAGCGGCGCGTGCGGGAGGTCATCCACATCGATGTGGAGGCCGCCTCAGCTCTGACGCAGGCGGCGCAGGTGCAGGCGTTGGTGCTCCCGAAAAAGAGATCAGTGCCGTCCCAGGCGGCGCTCGTGCGGCGCAGCGCCTCGGGGGCTGGGTTCCGGCGGTGTTTCCCCGGCGTGCGGCTTCGGCCGTGGGGCAAGTTCACGGCGGAGATCCGCGACCCGCGCCAGCGAAAGCACATGTGGCTCGGCACCTTCGACATCGCCGAGGAGGTCGCCGCTGCCTACGACGACGCCACGCTCCGCCTCAAGGGCTCCCATGTCGTCACCAAGTTCCCCGCCGAGGCGTCTTCTTCCCCCTAGTCGTGCATGAGGCTCCGCCCTCGCAGGGAGACCCCTGGAAACGACGGAGGGTGCCACGGAAGAAGACGGAGAGGCTCTCGCCCCGGCCCCGGCCCCGGCGGCGGTGGCGACGGCGCCCGCGTCGCTAGATCCGCAGGCGGTGGACGGCCCCACCCTGGTCTACCTGTTCGCGTCGCCAACCTCCATTCTCCATTATGCCGCCGATGAGGTGCTGGCCGCACCCGCCTTGCCGGCATTCGAGTTCCTCTATCCTGAGGCATGGCGCCGGAGGGACAGGACCGCAGGAGCGCGACGTGCGTGGAGAGGGATTGGGAGGGAAGGGGCATTTTATACATTTTCTCTGGTCAGGCCCACATGTCAGGGCTAATAAACGGTGGAAAGTTTAGTGTAATGACACTGGAATTCTTGTGAAATTTTTAACGTCACGTAGGAATGGAACATCTTTCGTGGTGCACACGTGGAGAAGCCTCCAGACAAATCCCCCGACCCATTCCTTCTTCCCCTCCCCGACTCCCCGTCCCCGGAGAGCAAAGCGTCTCTCGCTAGCGCGTTCAGTAGAAACCCTAAAAAGGAAAATAAAGCCCCGCCTCCTCGCCTCGCCCGTGGAGCCGCACTCCCCTCGCCGGGGGTAGGGGCTACAGGGCTTGCCGCTCGCCATGGACTCGTTCCGGAAGCAGTTGGACGTGCTCATGGGCGCCAACCGCAACGGCGACGTCGAGGAGGTGAACCGCAACTACTACGACCGCGACGTCTGCCGCCTCTTCCTCGCGGGCCTTTGCCCCCATGACCTCTTCCAGCTCACGGTATCCTCGTTTTCCCCTTTGATGTTTGGTTTGGGAATTTTAGTTAGGTTTTCCGTTTTGGGAATATGATATTATCTCCTTAGTTTTTTTAAAAACTCATGGATGGATGAATGGAATGTTGGGTTGGTAATGTTCCCATGTAGTAGTACGTGGAACTAGTTCAGTTTTTCAGGGTAAAAACTAGATGTAGTTCTCTTTGTGCTGCTGTCTGACCTAATTATCTGGTGATTGCAGAAAATGGATCTCGGTCCTTGTTCTAAGATTCACTCCCTTCAACTGCGGAAAGAGTATCCTTCATTCTACATCATTACCTTTGTTTTTTCTTCTCTTAGATGCTGTTTGGTTCGGTGTTTTTGCCCCCGCAACGCTTCACACTGTTATCAGATCATGTAACTTATGTTTGGTTAGACTGAGCCGGAATGGATAACGGAGGGATCAGATACGGGCAATTGCAATGCGGTTACCGCTCAACTCTCGGCGTTATCCGATTACGCGTGCGCAGGAGCGAGCGACTCCTGCGAGTTATCCCGCATGTGCGTTCGCTGCTTAGGCAAATAGAAACCGTTACATATGCCAACCAAACAAATGGCGGTTTTAGTTGCATGGTAACGGATAGCACTGGTTTCCAATTACATTGCCGTTGCCAGTCCCAGAGCTGAACCAAACAGCACCTTAATTGTTTTTTGGGATTTGTTGTGCAAAGTACTGTATAGACATGTTTTCCTCAGCTGTTGGTAGTTATGAAGAAGCGATAACAAAGGGAACAGAGAATTTTGATAGAGAACTCGAGGATATGATAGAAAGGCTCATTGTGGAGTGCAACCGGAAAATTCAGAGGGCCCTGAAACGGCTTGCGGATGATGATGCCAAGGCTGCTATTGCAATATCCGTCTCTGAGGTTACTCTGGTATCTGCCAGTACTCACTTGTATATCAATTACAAAAGTTTATTTGTAACGGCAACTCTTGATTTGAGCTGTATATTGATTATATTGTCAATGTTCACAGACGGATGACATACTGCAGCTGTCAAAACAGATCAAGGAAAAAATGATTGAAGTCGATGCCTTTGGTAATTCATCTATATTTTTATTTTGCATTTTTTTGCCCACTCTTCTGTTTGCTACCTTTTCAAAATAATAGATCGAGGCAGATTCAATAATAAGTTTAATTATTTTGGGAGGACTCATAGCTTCTAGGGATTAGGTGCAATTGTGTTGTTACATGATAGGGAGTTAGCCTATGGGGGTAGCACTACTAACACCATGATTGTTACACAATAGGAAGTTAGCCCATGGGGGTAACACCAATTTATGTTTGATTAGTGAAACATAGATATTGTAGTTTGGCCTCAAGTTTATGCTGCAAATAGCTGAACTAAATTCAAATGTACTGACAGATTTTGAAGGGAGAACTGATGACAAAATAAAGGCCCAGGAAGTAGTGGAAGAACTCAGAGCTAAAAGAGCTGATATGCAGGTATTAATTTGATTCTTTGAAAAGTAATTTTTTTAATTCTTATATTGATGTTATTGTTCCAGCACAAATTATTAAAATAGTAGTACTTTAGTTTTAATGTGGTAATTGTTTTTCCTATTTTGCTGCAGGCTACCCTCTTGCTTGATGCTTTTAACAAGGACAGAGCTTCATTAACTCAGCCTGTTCCACCTCCTCCTCTAGCAGCAGTGCCACCACCGCCTCCACCCGATGCTCGTACTCAAGAAATGATCAATGAAAAGCTTAAGAAAGCTGAAGAGCTTGGTATGGAAAGCAATGTGTTGAATTGCTTTACTTTGCAAAGTAGCATGGATTAGTGGTTTGTTTCTTATAGGTGTATCTGTATTTTTTAACTGGGGCTAAGTTTGGCCGACCTTTTCTTCTAGTGTATCTGTATCATGAAGTCAACCACTCAGTTAGGTAATATAAAATCAAATAGACTAACGATATGCACTAGTGAGGTTTTTGGCAAAAGTGAGAAGCTGAGGAGATAACTTTCATGAGAATTTTTAAATGACATGACATAAGGCTATAGTTGGTATATGTGGCACATTTTGATTTCTACTAGACCTTTTCCAGAACATAGGCAAGTTTTCTGTAACTAGCTCTTTTGAAAATTGGCCATCTAGTCAGACTTTTTATAAATATAATGTTATTATATTTTAATGGTTGTCGTTTTGGTAGGTGAACAAGGCATGGTTGATGAAGCTCAGAAAGCTTTGGAAGAGGCAGAAGCTCTGAAAAAGGTAGCCAAATAGCCATTACTATGTGCACCTTAAGTTAGTATTTTTAATGTTCCTTTTACCAGCCAGTTTAAGTAGTTTGTGTACCTTGCTGTGAGCTGTCTCAGACAAGGGTTTATGACACTGGTATTATTACGTTTATCTTGTTTAATGATCCTTGACTGATGGATAACTTATTTTTTACTCTTATTATTAGCTGGCGCCACGTCCGGAGCCACCTTCAGACCCTTCTAAATATACCGCCGCTGATGTTCGGATTGTGAGTTTCCACACAACCGATAATTATTTCGAATTAAGTTGTCATTGTTTGATAGTATTAGTTTGCATAGTATTGTCATCTATTTTTTCTGTTAGCGTCATTGGATGATAGCTTTTGTGGCTTATGAGGTAACCCTGGTACAAAGGCCTGTTCAAATCGGTGGCTTGAGTGATGCTGACATAATTCTTGTATTGTTTTGTTTACCGCAGATTCAATGTATATTTGTGTTTCTGTAGCCTAATCATCTAATGGGAAGACCGATTTTAAACATAAGTGCAATCGTGTGTTGAAAGTAAATTAACTTGCATAGTTCACATTTCCTGAATGTTTTGATCAGATATTGTTCTAGAATCCTCTCAGTTTATTAAGCTCTTAAGTGCACAGTTGAATCTTTGCGCACTGGAAATTTATTCCTGTCATGCATGTACCTTGTACCAGCACATTTCCTCCACAAAACGATTCTTTCTACAACATATGCATTACGTACCTAGGGTTTCAATGTCTGTAAGGCACTTATTCAGCATCAACCCTTTGTGGCTCATGATTTTAAATGACCTTGTTGTTATGTGCCTCATGTTTAGATCATACATTGCTATGGATTTCTTGGTAGGAATGACTTGCATGTAATTAAATTTACCGTTAGAGGTGCTTGTGGTCTGCACTGCCTTTTTAGGGTTTAACTGTTTAAGGGTCGATGCTATTTTGTTACATATTTTTTGTCTTATTATCTGTATCTATTTACATCATGATGCAATGCTAGATACATAATTGCTAATGGTACTTTGTTTATTTTATAGACTGATCAAAAGTTACGCCTCTGTGACATATGTGGAGCATTTCTGAGTGTATATGACAAGTAATGCTTCTAGCTCTTTGTACTCCCAAAAATATCTGAAGATGTCAAATTGAATATTTATCCTAAGCTGAAAATATCTCAACAGTGATCGACGTCTTGCTGACCATTTTGGAGGGAAACTACACCTAGGCTACATGCTGATTCGTGAGAAACAGAAAGAACTTCAGGTAAATTCCTGCACGCCCATGCCCAAAGTACAAGGTACTGGAGATTTATGAAACAGATTAATAGTTCCAGGGTTTCCAAACCTTAAAGACATAAATAGAACAAAATTTGCATTCAGTTTGCCCATCATCAGAATATGATAATCTTGATTTATTCCCTTATCCTCAATCTAAATCTATCAAGGTGCAATTTATCAGGTGCTGAGTGTAATGTACCATTTTCTGCTTTAAAGAGTTACTCTGTTTTGGGCCTTTTGGCATCTGTGAGTTTTCTTATCTCAAGAGCCTCAAGGTTCTCACCTTCCCTATATATTATTTGATTTCTCACATTGCCGGGCACTATGGTTGTTACGATAGTCATTACAGGAATTAGTCCATATTGCGTGATTGGAATCTCATGCGATCATCTTCATACCCATGGCTACAACAGTCACTGTCTGTTGACAAATGTAAGCATAGGAGCGTGCAGGCCATGGTATGAAAAATCATGTTTACTTAATTGTGACAAACTGCTCATGTGTCTGCTTAGTATTATGTTGGGCAGAAGCTGGAGGTTGCTTTTCTACTGCCTGAGCCATATTATGTAGACCAGGTGATAAATAGTACTGGTTAAGTTGTCCTGAAAGCACATTCCTTTTGCCATCATTTGCTGTAAGTGACAACTTGTTCTGTTTTTTTTAATCTGCTACCTCCTTCATAAGTTTGCAAGATATATTTTCCTGAAGCAGCCTTGCCTGTAAAGTATCACTCGCCCTTTCTTTTGGAATGTTTGTCTCTGATTTTAAGTTTGCCAAAATATCACCATTTCTACTGTCAATAAATAAAATATATTATGCCATCTTGCAGGAGCAGAGAAATAAAAGGAGGACAGTCAAAACTGAAGATGATAGACGGTATGGCATTCCATATTCCACATCCTTATTATTTTATAGTCAGCATCATGGTGGTTATCTGAAAGCATGTATTTGGCTTTTTTAGATCAAGAGAGCACAGCAAGGATCGCAACGGTCGGTCATCCAGGGATAGAGATTCAGAAAGGAGAGACAGAGTTGAGTCTCGAGATGGTAGAAGAGATTATGATAGGGATCGTGATAGACGTCACGATAGGGACTGTCGCCATGACCGTGATCGGGATAGGGATTATGACCGCTCCCGCGGACATGATTCAAGGAGAAGAGAGCGTTCACGCTCCAGGGAGCGCAGTAGGTATTGCTGAATAATAAGCGACTTGCATGTTAGAGCTACTTTCTTAAGTTCTGTGCCTTTTGATTTGAAACCATTTTACCTCACATCGTTGACTAACCAGGTATTTGTTCCTAATTTCAGGCGTCATGAGAGATACTAAATGTTGCTCCATGGCTGACAGATTTTGGAGTGCTGGCGTCTGTTCAAGATATGGTTTGAGTTGTGGTTTGTATCTTCTGAAGGTTCCTGCTCAAGAAATCCGAAAGTTAATTTTGGTGCATTATGCATCATGTCGTAGCGTCGTATTGTTTAGTATACCAATTTTATATGCCGAGAACAATCGCATCAAAGGAAGCTTTGGAAACCGACCTACTTGACGCTAAATGCGCTTGGAGTATTAAGTATTTAAACGCGTCTGGAATCAAATGAAGTTGTACTTGCGGACGAAATGGCTTTACTCTAATTCGTGCAATTTCTTTCTTTATTATTATATGCTGGGCTTAACCTTAGCTGTCTCTGTGCACTCGTCGAGTCGTCGTATCGCTCATTCCCACAAATTACATTGTACATTGTTGCGCTGTTGTAAATTTACGCTGGATTTGTTCAACAGAGGGCATGCTCTGTCTGATCATCATTCGAATCTGCTGTACGTAAGTGATCCTTTGGTGAACGACGACCAGGCGTCCATTTTCAAGAACCTCCAAGAAACAGACCAAAACATTTTCCCTCATCAATCATGGCAAAGGCCAAAGGAGGCATACATCTACTCGCAGTACAGCAGAATTCTTGTATGGTATGAACAAAATATTCAAGGCCTGATGAAGCTTTCCATCCCACCACCATTGTGTCTAGACGGCCTTCCGCTGGCGGACCTTGAAGCTGGTGGAGCGGATGACGTCGTCGTCGGCGTTGAGCCTCAGCTGCAGGGCGTCCATGGACTCCGGCTTGGTGAAGTAGGTGATGAGGAGGTAGATGCCGTCGTAGTAGGTGGACGGCAGCCCGGTCCGGCTGTTCCTCTTCCTGATGCTGTATGCCAGCGGGATGACGCCCCGGTTGAAGACCTCCACGTACATGGCGCCGCCGGCGACGAGCAGCTGCAGGCACAGGGAGGGAAGCACCAAGCTGAGCAGGAATGGAATGGTACGCAAATGGCAGGGGTAAGGGTGATGCTGTGAACATATTGTGACCAGATAGGCTAGTGACTAGAGTACTCAGTGTCACAAAATTCAGGATAGAATGGCAATTAACTTACATGGTGATTGATGGATAACCATTACTACACTACACTGATGGATGCAGCAGAAGTTTATTGGAAAGGAGGAACACAATTGATCTGACGGATGAAAAATTCAAGATCATCTCGATGAGCTATATGTAGCTTACTAATGTCATAATCTGCTACCGTGTGCCTAATCTTGTACTGCAAAATGTTACTGTGAATACTTCCACACAACTATGGCTTCGAATCTCTCTGCATTTTGCCATTTTCTATACCCATTTTGTGTGCTTATAGAAATCCTAATATGGGGTGGAGGCAATGCGATTACCTCCTCGTAGCGCTGGATGAAGGCGAGGCGCTCCTCCTCGGACATGTCGGGGCGGAGCACGACCATGGTCTCGTACTGACGCAGGCCGGGCGGGCAGGGCGGCATCTCGCGCTCCTCCAGCGCCAGCGCGGCCGACATCCCGAGGCCGCCGCCGCCGAGCCCCAGCCCCGGGCCGAACCCCGACTCGTTGCCGACCTCCTCCTCGTCGGCGCCGCCGGCCGCGGACATCGCCGAGCCGCCGTAGAAGGACGCCGCGTAGCCGGTGGAGACCGCGCGGGCACGGGCGGAGGGGAGGCGCAGCAGCGCGGCGGGCGGGCAGGGGCGGAAGTGCGGGAGCGCGGCGGACGCGGAGGCGGAGGTGGAGGAGAGCGGCAGGAGCGCCATGGGTGGCGGCATTGGAGGGACCAAGGGGAGCCGAGCAGCAAGGGGGCGAGACCGCGAGAGCGCAGGGCAGAGGAGAGCGGGAGGAGGCGCTGACGCTGTTGGTGTCGCGTCCACTCGATAGATAAGGATAGGACGCCACGCGCCCTGTTTGGAGTGTGGTGAAAAACGACCGCGTTTCAAACACTTTTTGACTCTGAGTTTTGAACCAAAATTGTTTGCGACTCTACGAGAAATTGAACCAACGGTAGAGTTTATTTGAACTACGAGCGCATGTTATGCATTTCTCCTATATTTTAGGTGCATGATTTATTTTTTCATCTAAGCAACGTGTATTTTTATCATTTTTTGATGTAGACAAAACCTACGAATTGTCCTTTTAATTGTGTTAGTTGGTTGTCTAAAATTGTTTGAAAATTTAGGTACCTGAAATATGGCAACTCTCCCATAGTTATTGAGCATATAACACTGACCATTCTACGTATAGGCCTCGTTCGACATAACATTTTCGGCAACTTCATAAGCTATTTGTGCTAAACAGATCTATTTGAAACAGGTTTACATGTGATGCTCTTTAAAACATGCTCTCATATAGGGTTGGTATGAGATGAAGCTAAAAATAGCTGTCACTTCCAGCTTCAACTTGCTCGTGAGCCCTGCGTAGGATTATATGAGATTATGTCTTACTCGGTTTTACATATTTTTGCATGTAGACCTATTCTGCCAGAACCGTTTCAGCCCCACCGATAAAGAAACAACTACTTCATTTTCACCGGTGAAAGAAATAAAGACTACGGTTGCAACCCCACAAATAAAGAAACAACCACTCCACTTGACTGGACAAGAGAACGAAGACTACGGTTGCAACCCCACCAATAAAGAAACAACCACTCCACTTGACTGGACAAGGGAACTGGGACTATGATTGCTTGGGACATACCAAATTATGGTTTGTAGCCTTGGTTTGGCTAACTAGAGGCACAACCCAAAGACATGCAGGGTCTATTTGGTTTGTGTCTTAGTCTATTATGCTTGATCTTTGGCAAATTGACTGCTAGAAAAAGTGTGGCCAAGATACTCTTTCGTATAGTTTAGCACAAGAATAAGTCTATGTCATGGAATAGAGGTGCTAAAAAGTATGACACACCGTAGTAACAGCAGTGTACCAGACTGCTACCAGAAAAACTATGGCCTAATCAACCTTTAGCGTGCCAGTTTTGGTCACAAAACCAAGAGGGGCCGCGGTGTAGAGCCTCGAGATCGAAGCGATAAATTGCTACCGGCACGGATCAATGGTATTGGAAGCTCATGATCCATCCATCTCTGACCTCTCTATGCATCTTTTAATTGCTTTTAGTGAAACACTCGTGAGCTGGCCATCCACGGATTGTTCCTGACGAGTCCTTCGATTTTTGCTAGATAGATGTTGCCGACCTGTTGGCTCTCCGCTCCGCTCCTCCGATCGGCCGTCGGCGACGGCGATGGCTATCGTGCAGGCTGAGCTGTGAGCTGTACTGACAAAAGGGTCGGTCCACCCACATTCATACACGTGCTTGCTGCCTCTGTCAGTCTCAGTCAGCACCAGTTCACCATGCCAGTGCCTTCACAGCACAGGGCTGGCAGGCTGGACACGCCGAGCTCGCCCACCGACCACAAGCCCACAAGGCCACGACCATCCTCGGGGGAATTATGTGTGAGCCATTAAAAAAAATCATAATCCTATGTGAGTCACTAGAAGGGTTTATCGGACTTCAGCGCCACTGCTCTAACTTTTTTTTACTCTCCATGCCACTGTCGTCAGATTGAGCTCTAACGGTGTCAAACTGCAGATGTGACAAGTCGAAAATACCCTTAAGTCTAAATATGTCATTAATTTTTTTGAGCATCTTAACGACTTCTCCTATAACTAAAAAGAACAAAACGTTGACACTTTTTAGTGCGACAATCAAACGTCGCTACGTCGTCTTGCCTCCGTGTGATCCCACGCGCGCCTCGCTCCGCTCTTCCTTTGCTTTCCCCGCTCGCAGACGCCGCTTGGCCTGACGCCGCTGACGCGGACGCCGCAGAGCTCCGCGCCGTCTTCCTCTCCCCTAGCCGCGACGCACGCGCCTCTGGTTCTCCGTCTTCTCCCGTGCTCGATTTGCTTTTCTTCGATTCTCCATCGTCTCCTGCACCTCGCCCTCTTCACTCCCGGCCGCTGCCCAGCCGTCATCGTCGCTGACCAGCCCGCTTGCACCTCCCCTTCACAGATACTGCGGCAGCCCCGCCAATACCGGATTTGCCTAACATGAAGGGGAGTGGGGCAGCGGTGGACAGCGTTCTCCGGTGGCAACGACTCGGCCGCCGCCGCCGCCTCCTCCTCCCTACGCTAGGTGCCCAGCCCTCCATCTTCGGGACTTTCGCAGGTGACGAGCACCAAACAAGTACACGCGCACTTCTCTTCCGTTCCTGCTGTGCGAAATCGACCACCCAGACCCTAGCTATCTGCTGCTATGATTTCTTCAGTTTGGGTGTTTCGAGGTTGTCGCGCTGATTTGTGTGCATTTGCTGATTAGAATCGAATTATTGTTGGAACCCTACAAGATAAGAACGACGCCGATGAGGAAGATCCACTGTCCTCACGAAGGGACAGTGACGATACGGTTCAAGAATGGCGATGACGACGACCATGGTGACAGTCTGATTTTTTGTCGCAATTTCTTCATGTTGCCGACTGTGACTCGCGCTGGTTGTGGGATGTGTGCTTTTCCACCCGTCAGGAAGTTGTTTTGCTTCCTTACTATTCGAATTATTCAGTCTTTTATGGTTTCAAAAAAAATCCCCAATCCATCGTCCATACAGAGCAGTTTGGTCGGTGCTTGCAGCAGTGATGAATATTATGATATAGGCTCAATGTTCTTCTAATTTGTTATGGCTTGCTACCCTTAATCCTAGGTGTGCTGATTTTCACACCCAAGAAATACGAATATAGCTTATGCTCCCTTCTCTTCCTAGTGCTCAACATCAATTTTTTTGCTCTCGCGATTACCTTCTGAGCATACATGTACTTCTTTTAGTTACTTACGTCTTAGTTTTGTGTCTATTTTCATCGTGTTTCCTTTATACTGCAGGCAGCTCTGTTCATGGTGTCTAAGATGCTTTTTCCCTTATTATTGAAGAACTAAAGTTATTTATTTTATTGCTGCTTAACCATTATAGCTGATCCTGATAGCTAATCTTTCGTGTAGCCCTGCTAACTACACTGTCCGTGCCACAGAGCCCGTTAAAGAAATTTGAAAGAGATCTCTCATCTCCCTCGTAAACGAAAAGCTTCAATTCAGAGTCATCGGTGTTCGAGTTAGCTCAATGTTACCTTTCCATCTTTGTTCCTCTCCTAGGAAACCATGAAGGCATACTTTAATTTGTTAGAATCAGCGTATTATAGACATTATTAATTTTTGTTACCCCTTGCTATAGAATGCCATGCCACCAAGTGGATGATACGGGATGCATCGAGTTCTTTTATCATATTATGGAGAATGAACATCAGGATCCCAAATGACCCACCGTGAAGCACTGAGGCGTCATCGTGCAATGCATCCTGATAGTACACCTATCTCTATTTCTGATGGTGCCACCTCTCTTCATGCTACCTGGTTCACATCTCTCCTCAAGGTATTCCTGTTGTTGCTCTCTAGTGAAATGCATGTTCAGGCCACAATCAAATGTTGTCGTATTATCTTCCAGACTTAACCCCCTCCAATTGACCCAATACCTTTTAATGCTACCTCACAGAGTTTCCAGGAGATGAAACATCCGTTGCTTCTACGATATGTCAAAAATGTAGAGCAGGTATGATTCTTAAGTGTAACGGTCAATTTTTGCCCTACACATGTGGTGCTCATCTAATCATTTGAGTTCCCCTCAACACATGTTATTAGGCCAGCTATTTTTATATATATTATCGGTTATATTTGCAAAAATCGATGCAAATTCAGGTGGGGAAATCCTCCTTGACCATTCAAACAAAGGTAAGATCGTTATCCAATATGACCACTAAATTGTGTGGTTGTAGTATAGGTGATTGAGTGATATATAATTTGGAGGCGTGAAGCAGCTAGAAACATTGAAATTGAAATGAATTGTATCTATCTTCCACAACTAAAAAGACTAAAGAGTGAACACTTTTTGGTGTAACATTTCAACATGGGCCCATGGTTCTGCCTGCTGTGATCTAGCACCTCCTCGCCAACAAAATCGGAAAGAAAATCAATCACGCAAAATCGGAAAGAAAAACAATCACGCACGCGAGAAAAGGGAATTTGGATCATTGATAAATGGATGTAGCTTAGTGTTTTTGACACAGCTAAATAATGATTATAGAGAGCCTTTAAGTTTCATTGGAATGGATGTGATGGTACGAGTGTTTTCCTTGCTAAATTGGATGGTTTGGTTGTGCAAAATAAGGTTATGCAGAGATCTATATATATTTGGTTCGGTTGGAGAAGGTGTATATTAATTTTCTCATTGTTAAATTGAAGCTTCTTAACATACTGAGAGTAATACAAATGTGCTAACCATCAGATTCACTAATATGTATCTAACTTCTTTTTCATTAGCTTTTATTTGTTTCATTAATTTTTCACTGTCATGTCCTTATTTTTACTTGTGCAGCTATTATTATTAGTATTCCCTTTCCGAAACTAAGGTCGCTGATTGCAACCAGCAGCCTATGTAAGTTTGTCAAAATGGCAGATTATGACTAACTATGCGGACACACTGGCGGTGTCGTCCCAATAGGCAGTGACTGTTGAGATGGTAATTTTTTTTGTTCAAGCACAACATTATGAACAACTGTGGCTAGAGTTGGTGACCCCGTCATGCCATCCGTCCTCCCCGTGAACTCAAGCACCGTGTCCAGTCCTAGGTGTTCAAAAGGATTGCAATTGTAATCATGAATCACGTGTTTTAATCTGCTTCAAGGCAATGCAAGTTATTTCTAGATTTACGCTAGCCTGCAAATTCCACAGTGAGGTATGTGGTTATGGCATTCAAATTCCAACTATAATTTGTTTACAAGATTGATTTATTAACTAGCAGTGCTTCAGGGATATTTGGGGTTAAATTTATTTTTGATTAATTCATGTATATGAAGACTAACTGATGTGCTGCTAAGGTACCAGGCTGCTGGAAAATTTGGGTTTAAATTTATTCTTATTTAATTCATGTATATGACGACTAACCGATGTGCCGCTAAGGTATCAGGCTAAGAGAAAGAGAAGATCAGTAAACCAGCAAACTCCATTAATGAAACATGCGGCAATGACCTTACTTGTCTAATTAAAATGATACTATGAAATCACTTATATTTTGACAGAAAGACAATTTTGGAAGAGAAAAATAGTAGTGCACCGCCTTCACCCTTTACCATGGTTGGCTCTAGGAAATCATCCAATGAGCCACTGTACTGTTTTAACCACATTTATAAACCCTGGTCGATATATGTTTGAGTTGAGAATTAGTTTTTTAATGTCTAATTTGGTAATGGAGTCGCTATATAATGGACTTGCATATTGTGCCATGTACCCATTGTAAATGTTTTTGCTTGCTACCTCGTATGGGTATGTTGAAATAAAATCATGCATGGGGCTATTTCTCGTATTGCCATAATGTTAGAAAGGTAACAATACAAGTTTCTAAACTAACAAGAACATATGTGATGTTCCTTCTCTAACGCATTTTTTGCCTTCATCTTAAGTAGGTCCAGGTTGCAATCCTACAATGGCAAGGCGGCGGCAACACTAAGACACGAGTACACGAGCGTGGTGAGGGTGGAGCTCTGTTAGAGATGCAAACATGTGGATCTAGGGTTAAGAAGAGCGGTGTTGGTATGGAATTTGTCTTATATGAGAACAAATTAAAATCTCAGTGTATCACTTTATTATGAGGGAATTTAGACATTTGGTATCATCTACCTAGGAGCTTTTTTGTGAGAATGACATACACGTTCAAACTTAATCATCATTGTATTATTTTGTTGGACAACATTATCGTGCGAAAAAATCTCTCGGGTCGCCTGCCGAACCCTGCGACCCCTTCCCTCCAAATGCCACTCCCTGCCGACCCCACCTTAGTGATTCTTAGAAAATGCCACTTGACAATTAGCGTCCAATCACGCTCCCTCCCCGTCCCCACGATCCCTCTCCCTCACGCCTCCGTGCTCGCCCACGCCACCGCCTGCTCTCCCTCCCTGCCGCGAAGCCGCGCCACCGCTGCAAGCTCGTGCCGAGAAGGAGAAGGCCCGCCGACGGAGCGTCGAGAAGCAGAAGGACCACCGAGAAGGCCCTCGCTCGACGTCGTCGTTCACACCCGCGCCGTCGTTCTTGCCCCGCCCCGATCAGCCAAATATCCTAAAGCCACACATATTTATACGGTGATTATAACATACTTTGTTATTATGTTTTGTGATAGATTTTTTAAGACACGCGGTATTACCCATGTGACAGGCATTAATATTTACATATATACTCGAACCTGTGTATATGATGGTACGGAGATGTGGCGGAACTTATTCGTGGATTTATTGGCGCACGAAAGAAATGGATATCGGAGATTTATTCCTACCGATATAAAATATTATCTTAGCCACATCACGGAAAGGTCTATACAGCAGAGTTGGTGAGCCTGCGATGCCACGCTCTCCGTGACTGTGTTTATTTTACGAACTTTGCTATTTGGATTAAATGTCACTTTAACACCAGTATTTAATTTCACAATATTGTTATCTTATCGTGCGATCCATGTGTTTTTAGTATAATAGTTTTGTTGCCCCGTAGCAACGTACGGGCACGCTACCTAGTTAAATGAAAAAACTCAAAACTAGAAAGTTGTAGATCTCGTCGAGATCTATAATTTTTATATAAAAATTATCTTTATTTAATTCCGTAAAAGATATGATTTGATATGATTAATATATCTTAAAAAATCATATTTTTTTACGATATTAAAAGATGATAATTTTTATATGAAAATTATAGGTCTCGACGACATCTATAATTTTCTAGTTTTGAGTTTTTTATTTAAAATCGTTAAGATGCTAAAAAATTAATGATATATTTAAACTTAAGAGTATTTTTGATTTTTCATATCTGTAGCGTGACACCGTTAAGAGTCCAACGTGACGACAGTGGTACGGAGAAAAGTGCGCTGAACTTTTACAACAACTCATACGACGTTGCGATCTTTTTTTTTTAATGGATCACGAGGAGTTCCCCCCACCATCCTCCTCTCCCTCCCTCCCTCCCTCCGCCCGACCATCCTTCCCAGCGTCCCGCAGGCACGCGGTTTCCACTCGCTTCGTCCCCGGCGGATCCCCCTCAGGTCAACCACCACTCCTCCCTCTGCCCCCTCTTTATCTCGCCCTCGCCTCGCGCTTCAGATCTCTCTCGTCCACCGATCTGCATCTCACGCACGCTCGCGTTCTTGGCTTGCTTCCACCTTTCTTTCTCTAGCAGAGTAGCAGCCTAGCAGAGGCGAAGAGCGAGCATGTCGTCGTCGGCGGAGAACGACCCCACGGTGACGGTGACCGAGCGCGGCAAGGACAAGCACGAGGACGGCGGCGACAAGGAGCAGGGCGGCGGCGGATTCATCGAGAAGGTGAAGGACTTCATCCACGACATCGGCGACAAGATCGGGTTCGGCAAGCCGACGGCCGACGTGTGCGGCATCCACATCCCGCACATCAGCCTCCACCGCGCGGACCTCGTCGTGGACGTGCTCATCAATAACCCCAACCCGGTGCCCATCCCGCTCGTCGACATCGACTACCTCATCGACAGCGACGGCCGCAAGCTCGTGTCCGGCCTCATCCCCGACGCCGGCACCATCCACGCGCATGGCCAGGAGACCGTCAAGATCCCCGTCTCGCTCGTCTTCGACGACATCAAGAGCACCTACAAGGATATCCAGCCCGGCAGCATCATCCCCTACCTCGTCCGCGTCGTGCTCCTCGTCGACGTCCCCATCATCGGCCGCATCAAGATCCCGATCCAGAAGGACGGCGAGATCCCCGTCCCGTACAAGCCCGACGTCGACGTCGAGAAGATCAAGTTCCACCACTTCTCCTTCGAGGAGACCACCGCCACGCTCCACCTCAAGCTCGAGAACAAGAACGACTTCGACCTCGGCCTCAACCTACTCGAGTACGAGATGTGGCTCGGCGACGACAGCATCGCCTCCGCTGAGCTCACCCAGACCGCCAAGATCGAGAAGCAGGGGATCACCAGGATGCAGGTGCCCTTCAGCTTCAGTCCCAAGGACTTTGGATCCGCTGTCTGGGACATGATCAGGGGGAGGGGCACGGGATACACCATCAAGGGCAAGATTGATGTCGACACTCCCTTCGGCAACATGAAGCTGCCCATAAGCAAAGAGGGTGGAACCACCCGCATCAAGAAGGACGACGACGACGACGACGACGACGATGACAACTGAACTGAGGTACTACTACTATCTGCTGCCTGTTGATCTAATGCCATACTACTAGTCAGTACTCTTTTCTTCTTCCAAGATGTTTCCAATTGTTCATATAGAGTATTCACCAGTCCAGTAAGTACTAGTCACATCTCTTTTTGACTAACGAGAATGCCAGTGGAAAAGAGACAGCTTTAGCATGAGCATGAATCTTTTTTTTTAATTTGATTTTAGGTGTGTTAACAAGCTAAGTTCTGTACTACTACACGATGCAATAGCCGAACTTGGTAGGCTTAAGTTTCCAAAACTTGACCATTTTGATGATTTGTAGTCTTTCCATGGACCACCTGTACTGAAAAGCTAGTCTACTATGACCTCATTAGTGATTAGTCATAAAGATTTTACAAGTACTTATCTGAACTTGTTATGCTAGGCGATGGCAACTGAGGTACTACTACTAGTATCTGCTGCCTGTCGATCTAGTACCATCTTTGTTCTTCCATGTTGCCAATTCATTCTTTCGTATGATGATTCATCAGTTTAGTACTTGTTATTATTTTTAGTACTCTTTGACTAACAGAATACTAGTGGAAAAGCGACAGCTTTAGCATAAGCATGAATCCTTTTTAACTGATTTAAGGTGTGTTGACTAAATGCAATATCCGAACTTGTTAGGCCTTTGAATTTCCAAAAACCCAGAATTCTGATAGACACTAGAAAGAAGGGCGGGCCTAGTGCAAGCGGTAGAGTCTTACCGCCTGTGACCGAAAGGTCCCGGGTTCGAGTCGCGGTCTCCTCGCATTGCACAGGCGAGGATAAGGCTTGCCACTGACACCCTTCCCCAGACCCCGAACAGAGCGGGAGCTCTCTGCACTGGGTACGCCCTAATAGACACTAGAAATAGGTGTTACAAGTTGTCATTATGAAACTCTGCATTCTCAACATGGATCACTTGTACCGAAAAACTTAGCCAACTATGACCTTATTAGTCGGAGAAATTTAGCAAGCACTTGTATGAACTTGTTATGCTAGATGATGATGTGTGAGTCATATTCAGTGCATGTCGATATACAAGATTTTATACTCTGTTCAAATGTTCAGACTACACACACTGTTTGATTCAAGCAGAGATATGCGTTTGATGAACTTATAGAACATGTAGCATAACAAGATAACATGCCATCTGGACTAGGTTGTAGTTGTAGAGACCAGGTCGTTACTAGTAACACAATCACATGTGAAAAGTTGAAGAAAAGTATGCAGTGCAGGACTGCAGGCAGTCGCTATGTCTGTCAGTTGTTGATGGGAAGCTTTGGGTACACAATCCTGCAAGTAGTAGTAGATTGGTTTGCTGTGATGGCATTTCCCTTGCAAAATCGTTCACACTGGTGGCCTGGAGCTTGCTGAACACTGTTTCTGAACCACCCTACCATTGTTGCAGGACTGGAGCGTTGCTGTTACCTTTCACACAAAATGCAGCAAAGCAGAGAAAGATGCGGGGATCGTCATCCACCTGATACCCTTAGGGCTAGTTAAGCTCGTGCCGTAGCTTATGGTGTCTTGTTGTTTTGCATTGTCTGAACATCCTCACTTCGTCAGTGTACGTCGTGGTGCCGTGCGTTGTCCAGTTTGAGGTTTCCTCTGTGTAGTCTCCTGCGTGAATTCCTTCTCCAAACTTTGCGGTTGGAACTGAAGAATAAAATTCCATGACCCTCCTGGTTCTTTTGTGGGTCTGGTTGGAATAGCTCCTGCCTGAAATGTTTGCGCTGCTATGATATCCTGAATTGAACTTAACAGCCTTACAGGCATGTTCTTTTATCCATGCAGAAGCTCACGGGCAAGTCATTAATAATCCACACCTGAATTGAACTTAACAGCCTTACAGGCATGTTCTTTTATCCATGCAGAAGCTCACGGGCAAGTCATTAATAATCCACACCTGTTTTCATGGGGGCTGTGTCTGCTTCTCTCTTTCCTTTATTTTTTTTTTCTTTCTGAAATACTTGCTTGGCATCTCATTGTGAAGCGTCTGCCCTCTCTGAAATGCTTGTTTGGCTTGTCATTCGACGAAGGAGCAAAATCATCCTGTTCCCGAGTGAAAGGAACTATCAATAACTTTTTTTTTTTGAAGAATGGAACTATCAATAACTTGCCACCTTACAATTTCACCAAAGATAGATAGACAGGGACAAAAATTCTTCATTCAGGCAAAGCGTGAACGCATTTGAGAACACCATTTTTGGCGCTCACTGCTCACACGAGAAAGTACATATACATGTATGAAATCATTTTTGACGATGCTCATGAGTTCATCCCATGAATTTTAGTGAAATCAGACCATTCTTTAGGTATGTATTAATTATTAGCATGTGAGGAATGAATGATGATAGATCAATTTATTTTATTTCACAAACTAAATAAAAAAAATGAGGAGTGCAAAGAAGATGGGACCACCTCAGAGTGTCCTATAATCCGTTGCATGCATCGGAGATGAAGGTTGTTTTCAATCGACACAAAACACTCTAGATGATTCCCTCAAAAAAAAACACTCTAGATGATCTACGGCTGGGCTTGTAGGCAGATGGGAGAGCCTTGGTCGATGTGAGCTCACGGCCGTCGAAGAAGAGGCGCTGCAAGGCCACCGGGATGTCCGGTCGCCTCCTTTGATCGCCTACTTGATTTTCCGGGACGACCAGCGCCCGGACGTCCGGACACAGCTCCTGCTCCGGAGGTAGCATCTGTGTGGATGGAGATCCGCGCCTGTACCCGATGCAGTGGCGGAGCTAGGATTTAAAACTTGGATATTCCCACTTCCACGTCATAAAAAAAATTGAATCCATAGACTTAAAATATAGCCAATAGCACCGCAAATCAGCAACTTTAAACCAATATTTGCTTTCTAGAATCTAGCCTTCTAATTGAAAGGCCAGTTTTTTACCTGTTTTGAGCTGAAATGTGTGAAAATACTATTGATTATAGCATTATACATTTATATATATAAGTATATACACATATCTACGTAAAAGTGTACCAAAATAGTTGGGTATTCCTTGGAATATGGGGGAATACCCCTAAATCCGCCCATGACCCGATGCCCGCCTGCATCGTATCCCGTGCCTTGCCCCCGCCCGCATCACGCGCCAGCGTCTGAAACCGCGCCCCGCGTCCGCACGTGAACCACGACAGGACCCCTGTAGCAGCACTAGGCCTGCCGCCAGCCACCAGCGTGCGTTGCGATATGTGTAATACTCCGATAAACATAAAGATGAAACATTTGCAACATATAAATGAAACATTTTGTAAGGAAAATGGACACTAGGCTCATTTACTTTAGATTTTGGTGTTTGATGACCAATACAACCAAATTGGACTAATGAATTTGCAAGTGATTGTTTTGTAGTTCAATAGGGTGCAAGACGTGACTTGGACGAAGGCGACGTGATGATCCGATGATCAACACCTTAAGTAATACCTTAGAAGCATAAGAAAAGACCCAAGATATCAAGCAAAGTCCAAGCACGAAGATATAAACCAAGCCGGACGTAAGATCGCGAAGAAACGAGCTCACAGAAGTGACCGGACGCTGGACCGGATGCTGGCGGAAAGCAATCGGACGCTCCGATCAAGAGGCTCGACAACAGGCGTCAGCAGCAGCAACCGGACACTGGTGGCTAATCGATCGGACACAGGACAACAGAGTCCGGTCGAGTACAGAGAGGTTCCAGAGCGGTGAAACTGCGACCGGACGCGTCCGATGGCAGGTGACCGGACGCTGGCAGCGTCCGATCAGTTGTTCGCGGCTTCAACGGTCGGGACGACCGGACGCGTCCGGTCAGGACATGATCAGCGTCCGGTCAATAGCAGAAAAGCAGAATTTCATCCACAACGACTACTTTGTCAGTGGGCTTATAAATAGACCCCTAACCGGCCATTTGAGAGGTGTGGAGCTGAGAAAACATACTAAGGGTGTTGATACACCATTTTAGTGATCTTTATTTGCATAGTGCTTAGTGATTTATTAGGTGATTAGCGTAGGTGCTTAGGTTGATTAGACCACCGCTAATGCGCTTGCTCTAGGTTTAGGGCTAGTGTTTAGTGAGGTTTGCATACCTCTTACCACTCGGTGCTTGCGCGCACCATTGTTGTACATCGGAGGGGCTTGTAGTCTTGCGAAATCACACCAACCGTGTTTGTGGTGTGGTCGCCACCGTGTACCGGAGGGAACAAGGCCCGCGACGTTTCAGCCGGAAGCTTGATAGTGAAGACGACGGGGAGCATCTGGGAGAGGCTTGCCGGAAGGCGCATCGGAGACCCACTTGCGCGTGGGAAAGGCCCGAGGCTATCCATGGAGTTACCCGACCAGGAACTTGGCCCTTGCGAGGGATTCCTTGTGAGAGGCTCCAACGAGGACTAGAGGAAGCTTGCGTGCTTCTCGATACCTCGGTAAAAATACCGAAGTCATCGACGGGAGTTTGCATATCTCTAGCTTGCTCTTTAGCTTCCACATTTACATTGATTGTATTACTCCTTTTGCGGTAGAGATAGCAACACACTAGCAAAACCGTAGTTGCACATTTAGATAGTTTATCTTTGCATAGGTTTTGCTAAGGTTAGAAAAAGATGCCATAGTTTAGAGTTAGAATTTTAAGTTGCCTAATTCACCCCAAATATGCTCTTGAAACATGTGTGTGTAGCCATAACAATATATGCAACATCCAAATCCACTTTTGCAACGTAAATCAGAAACATCTGAAAGACATGAAAACACACTTGAAACATGCGTGTACAGCCATAGCAATCATATGCAACATCCAGATAAAAAACATTTGAAACATGCACCCGAAACAACTGAAACACTTTGAACATAGGCTTGAAACATTCGTATATTGTCATTGCAACATATGAAACATCCTAGATCTACTTTTGTAATATCTAGATGAAACACTTAAAACATAAGTCTGAAACACTTGAAACACAACGTCGCGCGGCAGCCACAGCCTATCTAGTGGGGAACTCCGGTA